AGACTGCCAATTCGGCCAATTCCGGTTGTGTCCTTGGTGGTATATCACATATCACAATTGGGTGGTTGTGACTATTGCTATTCTGAGATGGCTGCTTGGTTTCCATTTCCTTGTTTGCTCTAATCCAGCAAACTCACTTCCTAGTCTAGTTTATTACCCACTCTAGAGCTCGTGCTCCTGCTTGTCACTTGCCCATTTATGAATGAGTGGACTCAGAAACGGCCTCTCTTCGGGGCCAGCAGATGTATACAGTAGACCAAGATGGAGGATACTTGCGTATAAGTCATCTGACAACAGTTGTAACGCGGAACAGGCTGAGACAGTTTCCCGGGGGTTTGTTGTAGCCGGAAGGAGATTCTTACGTGATTCTATTCAAACCTTTACTGTCGACTCAATATTCCACGAATCGATGCCATCTCACTAATCATGCATCCCACGCCTCGTTATTCTCCGACGAGTGTGCATTGCAAGTTGCTTGGGGTCTGGTGGAGCTTATCTGAACGTTCCAAAGAATAAGTCGGGATTATTAATAGGCAGCCGCAAGTACCGAGGCGAAATCGAAGCATGAATAAACCAGTTGTTCCTAGCCAAGTCCCTGCTATGGACTTACACGGATAGCCCTCCGAGCCACGCCAGGCTGCGACACACAGTTCCGCACGATCTAATAGGCTCGCTTGGTGGTAAAACGTCACTTCTACATGAGAGGGCTCAAGCAACAGCCCATGTAACCTCGCTTCGTGAAGAGTCATCATCTGAGAGCGAAGAGTTTCACGATGCCAAGGGTTCACGCTCGGCCTGTAGGAGGCAGGGTTTTCCAAGTTGATGTAAACAACGTCCTGTTATAGGTGGTCAAATTACATGGGTAAATGTTCCGAGTACTTGAGATGCCAACTGCAAATCCTTGAAAAAAGTTTGCTGTCCTCATGTTTCAACCTCGGGAGACAACATCGTCATCTGCTATCCATCCCCAGTATATCAAATTATTTTGATGGCCATTTCAGGAGGAATGTATGGTGGAATAATTCCGACCAAGACGCCCGCTTCAACCGCCATCAAACTCCCAGCTCAGTTCTGTGCCCACATCCCGATCATGTTGCCCTCAGTGTCAATCACATGAGCATAGAAGCCGGCATTCGGACCGCAACTCGTTCTAGGCCTAGAGGGGGATTAGAAGTCTCGAATATATTAGAACACCGAAGTGCGCCGTGGGGACATACCACTGATTCTTTCCACCCAGCTTCTCGGCCAACTTGAGCGTTTCCGCGATGTCAGCAACCTGAATGGTTGGCAACACGGGCATGGCTCTCGGGCGGTCCTCAAAAAAGTTGACGACCCGGTGATCGTCACTCATTACGACAAATGCTCCGTTCACAGTGTCTTTCTTGTTAAAGAAATACATACCCTTGAAGGGGCAGTCCGGCGTGGGGGTTTCAGCTTGTGGTACCGGGTTCAGGTCACATTGCCAACCAAACAGGCCTTCGTAGAACTTGGAAGCCCTTGATATGTCTGAGACGGGGATCTCAAGCCAACAGACCTGGCCAACGCGTACCTCGCGGGCTCCCTGATGTGAGGGTGTCAGCAGAGAGTGACGGAGATAATAGCAGAGAAAGGGAGGCGTACCTGGGATTCCTCGGTTGACATGTTGCGAACACTTCTCAATACCAAAGCTATGCGATGTCTTTGTGGGAGGGAGGCACGAGTTATTTGATTCTTTGGTGCAGGATGATGATCAGTCCAACTTGTGAGTATGAATTAGCCGTCAATCTCGCTCATTTTATAGACAAGCAAAACGAGAGCAATCAATCCTCTGAGCGATGCATCGGGCGCCTCCTACGAAATAGCGACGTCAAAAGGGGTTTAAACATTGTTTCTGCCTGTTCGTGGCGGTCTCCGAAGCCAATGAATGGTGCTGGATATCATGGTCAACACGGGGCTGGACCCGGTGAGGGGTTGGATCACAGAAATCGCTGTTCAGCAACAGCAACTGGCGTGAACGCCACAAAACGCATGTCTACGAACGAGTGGCCTCGTGACAGCCAATCTACGGGGATTATGGGCCACGGTGAGAGGCTCTCGCTCCCTAGTTTGGAGCCGATAGCCAGAACCCTGGGGCCATCCATCAGATGTCCAATAGAAACGGGCGACGATGGGCAGACAGATTGGTCGTACCAATGGAGGCTTCTTGGAGGCATAGCCCTTACTAGTAGATTAGCCATTAGGATGAAGAGGGTTAGTGGTCAACTGGGTGACAGAAGAAATGGGACATCAAATTGAAGTGTGGTTTTGAGCAGACCCTTTTCAACGATGACTAGAATAACAAGGTAGTATAAAACGATAATATAAATGTTTATATTCAGTGTATTATCTCACTAGAATTTCTTATCAGCTCTTGATAATCTGATAATACTGTGCCCAGACTGAACAATAGGCAGTATCATGTTTGAGTGTCTCAAATTTAATGTCACCCATTTAGCAATCCAATCAGGCGAGGCCGACGAATGAGACGAATGATATGGCTTCAATTAGGTTGATTGACCGCCGCGATGGACAATTGAGCTGGTTCAATCCAATTTCAAGTTTCAAATCTCAATTTCACGCGGTCATTGCGTAAAGCGATTAACGTAACGATCGATGAACGGATGATTAAATGCACGTAAAAACGCGGTTTGCGGCTCCAGCCCATTGAGGCGGCCAATCAACGCGGGCCCACTCAAGCTGCGCGCGTCATCTGTCGCCTCAGTTCCGTGTATCGAATCAGAGCTTTCTCAAGTTGTCGCATGCATCAAGCAGTTCGCACTATCGCGAATTTCCATCCTCCGGTCTGATTTGCCAGCTCACTTTTTCTGTCCTGGACCCTTCGGTTTCCATCCGCCCGCTTTCCTTGCGCAATTCCGTACATTTGGCTTTAGCCAGGTGCCAGTCCATTTGACGGTTCTTCTCAATCGCCCCAGCCTTGCCCTTCGACTCCATCCATCAACCATCTCCTCCTCTCAATTCAATCGCAATGGCAGACTCCACTGAAGCCACTCCTCAGATCGACAACGGTGCCAAAATCGAAGAGACTGCCCCAGTCGATACTCCTGTCGATGCTCCCGCTGATGCCCCCGTGCCCGAGACAGAGAACGGCGAAGAGGAGAAAGATGAAGACATTCACTCCAAGAAGGTCACCCTCGCCGATCTGAGTGCCAAGGGTACCGCTCTCTACGCCCACAAGAACTACGAAGAAGCCGCCGAGATCTTCTCCCTCGCCAGCATTCTTCAAGCAGAGATCAACGGCGAAACCGCCCCAGAAAACGCCGAAATTCTCTTCCATTACGGTCGCAGCTTGTTCAAGGTCGGCCAGAGCAAGAGCGACGTCCTCGGCGGCTCCGCGCCCGCCGTCGAAAAGAAGCCTGCCAAGACCAGCGACAAGCCCAAGCCTGCTGAGAAACCCGCCAAGACCGAGGAGCAGGGCGAGAAGGCTAGCGATGACAAGAAGGAAGAAGACGCGGCGAAGAAGCCTCTGTTCCAATTCACCGGCGACGAGAACTTTGATGATTCAGACGAGGAAGAGGTGAGTGTTATTTTGCCTGCACTCGATTTACGGCGTTGCCTGCATTGCTAACACGAGTGGTGATTTTAGGAAGAAGAAGAAGGCGAACCCGAGGAAGAGGATGACGATCTCGCGACCGCTTTCGAGATTCTCGACTTGGCACGTGTTTGCTACATCAAGCTGCTAGAACAGGTCGACGAGGAGGAGAAGCCCGAAGGAAAGGGCAAAGAAACGGCGGAAGACTCTCCCAAGGTCCGACACATCAAGGAGCGACTCGCTGATACCCACGATGCCCTCGCAGAGATCTCCCTAGAGAACGAGCGGTAGGCAAAACCCCAGACACCGTTTCCAGTGCCCGCGCATAAGCAAATGCTAACATGGTCGCAGATACCCCAATGCTATTGAGGACGGCCGCACATCTCTAAAGTACAAGCTGGAGCTCTACCCTGAGGACTCCGAGATCATCGCCGAGGCGCACTACAAGCTTTCCCTGGCTCTTGAGTTCGCATCCATCACAACGACAAGCGAGGAAGGCGGCACTGAGCGCAGGGAAGAGATGGACCAAGGCCTGAGAGCTGAGGCAGCCAAGGAGATGGAGCTGGCAATCCAGAGCTCCAAGCTGAAGACTCAGAACAAGGAGGTTGAGCTCGCGACTATGGCCTCGCCCGAGGACAATGAACTAGCCCGCAAGCAGATTTCCGAAATGAAGGAACTCATCGCTGATATGGAGCAACGAGTAAGCCCTTCCAACCCCCCTTCCAACCCTTTCGTTGCTTTACTGACGCTCTCAAAGCTCGTCGATCTGCGAAACGATCCAATCGACACCAAGGGTCTCCTCGGCGCCGACGCCAACCCCCTTGGTGGTGTTCTGGGTGCTCTGGCCGGCGAGTCTTCGGCCGAGACCAAGGCCCGCATCGACGAGGCCAGCAAAACCGCTACCGATCTGTCCGGCCTAGTCCGCAAGAAGAAGACCAAGGAGGAGGCAGCCCCTGCCGAAGTATCCAGCGAGACCGAATCTAACGGAAAGCGCAAAGCTGAGGACGACGCAGATGAGGACGACTCGGCCAAGAGAGCCAAGGTCGAGGCCTCGGAAGCTGCTTAGTGCAGACCCCGCAGAAGCTTCTTCTTCTTCGCGCATGTAATTTCTGTACACTGGTTCCCCTTTTTTCTCTCTTTATATTGGTGCGGAGTTATGGAGTACAAGCAGGGACCGGATGGAAATAAGGGAATTGGGACATGTGGAGAGCGGCGAGACCCAGCTCCAATGCATAGGTTGTTGATGTACTAGTAGTATACGACATGATATGACGGGCTTCCCCAGCTAGGAGGAAAGCCAATAGATTCAAGGGAAAGCGTCGACGGTTTTGAAGAAATAATTTCCATTTCCATTTCGGATCTATACACAAAGCACCCCCCAATTGTCTATATATCGTGACGCTATATCGACTTTTTTGAACGCCCAACAAAATTACAGCTTGAAGTTCCCGCTCGTCAGCACCTTGGCGGCCTTGATCTTCTTGCCGTCCACGTCCGTCACCTCTCCCTTGCGGTTGATGACCTTGACGCCACCCTTCTTCAGATCCGCCACGGTATCCCGCTGCATCTTGGCGCGGCCGCTGAGAGTCTTGCCGGGGCCGACGCCGCCAGCCTTGCGGACACGCTCCTTCTCGCGCCGCCTCCTCCTTGACCTGTCCTCGCGGGACATCTCCTGCTTGGCGATGGGCACGCCGCTCTTGGCGACGACCTCGCCCTTCTCGGCCGTCTTGCTGGAAGCCTTGTACACCTCCTGCGGGGCCATATTGCTCTGCTGGCCAGCCACGCCCTGGGCGGTAGTGGGCTGGGCGTCCTCCATGGCCACCGTGGCCACGTCGGCGACGACGGAGAGCGTGGGCTCGACGGGCTTGGGGCGGTAGTGCCAGCTGCTGAGGGCGTCGAGACGGGCGCTGACATCGCGCCACATAGCCTCGACCTCGCGCTCCTCGCGCTGGAGCTTCTCGTCCGACTGGCTGACGAAGGTATCTGGGTTGTTCTTGCGGGCGTGCTCTTCCTCATACACCTCTGCCAGACTCTTGCCCTTGGTGTCGTCGACATCCTCAAGCATGCCGCGGCGTGTGCCGGTAGGAAGGCTGTCAACACCGGGTCGGCGACGCAGGACCTCGTCGAATTCCTGGGCGAGAATGCGCCTCTTGATCAATTCTTCGATGCCCTCGGTGATCTCGGGCGTGATTACCGGTACGGGTTTGCCAACATGCTCAAAGTCAAGGTCCTCCTCGAGCAGAGAGTTCATGGGACGGTCGGCGGCGGCGGCTTCACCAGACAACGTCCACTCTCGCTTCGCGACTGAGGCAGCCTCAAGCTTGCGGATCTCCTCGGCGAGTTTTGCCTGTCGTCGCTCATGTGCGGAACGGCGAGATCTGGGGTCTCCTGCAGAGACATCGGATAGGCCACCATCGGAGCCTTCCTCATCAGACTCGTCATCGAAGAGATCACGGCGGACATCTGCCATATTGTTCTCCACATCAGCGTCATTAATCGGCTGGGACTTGAATGAGACGGATTTCCTTGGTCTATCATCTCTTCTCTTCTTTTTAGGCGGAGCAAAGAAGTCTTTGTAGTACACGTCGTTGGCATTGAAGTCCATGGCCTCATCATCCACTCCGGCTTCCAAGTCACCAGCCATGGCTTCGTCGTCACTGGCACCCTCAGGGGCATCAAGGTCCATGTCTCCAAAGGTAGGGCCGTCGTCTTCATCGTCTTCGTCATCATCTTGGTCCTGCGACTGTGGCTTCTTGCCAGCAGAAGCCTTGGGCTTGGCTGCTGCCAAGGGATCCGCGTTCCAATCAATATCCTCGTCGTCGCTGGCCGCGTCTGTGTTGGGATCTCCTCTTGCGTCTTGTTGTTCGAACCAATTTGACTGCTTGTTGAAATCATCCAGGGAGAAGAACCCGTCGTTGAGACCATCTGGATCAGCCTCGTACTCGGCTCCCTCTTCCCCCTCCTCCTCCTCCTCGCCCTCCTCCTCGTCTTCTTGGTAGTCATCCTGTTCGGCACCAAGGCCTTCACTAGCATCCTCCCATTCCTCCTCCTCCTCATCTTCATCTTGCGCGTCAGCGCTCAGAAGCTCCTCATCGTCGTCACCTGATGCCAAGGATGGCTCATCCGCATTGCCATTGAGCTCCTCGGGATCAGACTGTGAATCCTCCTCGGACTCTCCCTCTATTGCGATTTCATCATTATCCTGGAGATTCTGCAGCGCCGAGTCTGCATGCCTGAGAACGCTACCAATGATTCTCTTGGCCTGTTCCCAAACTTGGTTTGTTTCAAAACCGTCGACGTAGACTTTGCGGATCTTGAGCACCTCCTCCTTGCCATCTGCCCTCTTCCGTTTCCGGTTCTCCTTCAGTTTTTGTTCCTGCTGTTCGGCAATCTGGCCAGCGAAGCCCTCTAGGGTATCTTTAACAATGTTGAGCGACTCGGTGGGAATGGCGGCATCGGGCTGGAGGAACACATGGCGATTCGCGGATTCAAGGCGGCCCAGGAGCGACGAGGCATTGCTCTTGGAGGCGGAAGGAAGACCCGCCATGTTTGGCAAGGCCGTGAGCGTCTGAGAGGTTGAGGTCAGCGTTGGCGACGTCTCAACAGCCATGTCTATCTCTTGGTTTCCGCCGTCAGACTCGAAACATTGCGCTACTCTCCAGAGACGACGAGAAAAAAAGTTGATGGGTGGGGCGCCATGTGATAAGAGATAAGAGATAACATGGATGACTGATTGGGGAAAGGCGAATTGATCCTTCTAAGTGGTACAGGTTAAATGGCTCCATTTTCTATTACTAAACATTCGCCAGCTAACAGAAATAATGGTACACCGAGGCCACCAACACCGCATTCCGGCATGTCAAATCCAACAAATACGGAAAAATTATAGAGATAATTCTCAGTATAACGCTTTGCTTTCTAACTTAATATCATGGTCGTAATTATCAAATATCAGAATATAAAATCCACGGCTTTCATATCAGAGCCCGAGATGGCGTTGGGGTTCGTGCCGTTTTCTGTCACCACCCTAATGGATCTGATATGGTGAGCTGCTCGCAGTAGCACATCCTTTAGCTACTAGAAATAGCTATACTATCCACCCGCCGACCAGAAATTTCTCAACAGAGCAGTATGAACCAGGCATGTTCACGAAAGGCCTATTTTCTGATGGGAACGCATCCAGAAGACGGACACCCTACGCAGAGTCAGCACCAGAAACCTCTACCGGACAGGGCATACGACACCTGCTAACACGCCATCGAGCCCACTTGGGCCGCCGCTCACCTGCATCGTATGATGACCAGCAGGTGTCGTGCATTCGGATACTAGGTATGTGCACAGGTAAGATGGCTCAGTCTCTCCATGCGCCTAGACGGCGTACTCGGATTTTGGCCAGCAGGCTCAATCAATCCTGCGCGTACCTGCATCTATCTCTCCTCGCGCCTATTCATAGTGGTTTAGCGCATCTTTCCATCCCCCAGCGGTGCCGTTCCACTCTACGTATTAAGACCGTAATATATTCCGACGCTTGCGTTGGCTGACTTGCTGGGCCTATGTAATTTGCACAGCCCAGAGCGGCTCAAGTCCCAGAACGGATATTAATCAGTTTGTAAGGTATTCGTTCATGCGTAAGGTAGGTATCCAAAAATCCAACAAAAATATCCAAGCCCAGCTCCAAAATAAACTCCAGTCCGGGCTGAGGGCCGTCGCCTCGCCAGCCCGCTGCCAGTCGATGATCCCTCGCCCGAAAACGGCAAGTTTCAATGCGCCCCGCTCTTCGCCAGCAGATCCCATCTGACTTCACATGTAAGTGTTGTCTGATGGGTAGTATCATTTACCAAATCCCGAAGTCCCCAATGCAACGTTCCAGCAGACCAAGCAAAAAAAAAACCAGCTCCCACCAACAAGAGGAGAGCTGAGTGAGAAAAAAGTAGAGAACGCTGCGTCTGTCCCCGCCGAGGTAGAGGAACTGAAAATGAACACCAAGTGATGCAAACGCCTTGAAGCTTCGAGGCCCACCCGGAACCAATCTCGTTCATCTCAGATCACTAACTCGATTCCGTTAATAAGGAGCACGAGGAACAAATGAGGCATGCGACTCACATTTGTGACATAAATCATAGTACTCCAATGCGAGGCATGATTTGGGGCGTTTGCTCTCAGAACACCCACATGGCAACTCCAGCAAGGACTGCAGTGGACAGAAGGACTGAACCAGCGATGATGTCACCCGTCTTGTCGGCTTGGGTCGACCAAACCTCCTCGCTGTCGAGGATGCTGTAGGGGTACTTCTTCATCATCTTGAAAGGTGGTTGAGAGACTGGGTCGTCTTGGGAGTGCAATAAATATGTGAAAGTAAAATGAAAAACAATTAGGGCCAGATACTGAGCAAGTCGTAAAAGCAAGAGGAAATGAAACGATGATGCAGCTCGAAATATTAGGCAACAGACGAGGGAGAACCACCACCTTTATATCTTATCGGCTCACCTTTGTTGCATGGCCATTGGGGGGGGGGGGTGTGCAGCCGTCAACCGCTTTCCCAGACGGAGCACCATCCCCAACCCCAGCTGATAATCATGAGAGGGGAATAAGACAGACCCGGCATGGCCATGTGAGTCCAACCCTCCCTTCCATCTGCCTTACCGGCCTGGTGCCACACATGCCAAGACAGGGTCGTGCGCAGCGATTGGATCCATCAACATGACCGGAATCGTCGACTAGTTGCTATTGTGATTGAACAGGGTTTACGCTAGATGTGGCCAGCTTGGGCCACACAATCGTACGTGGCAGGGTTGCCGAACCGGATGGTCATGGTTCATATCATCAATAATCTGGTGATTAGGCACACCCAAGATCAAACCCTTGATTCTAATATATGAATCCCTGTGCAATTTATAAATTAGATGGCAAGTTTATTCACAAAAGGCTGACTCTATCAAGGAGAAAAAGAACGGTGTAAAACTTCGCCACATGCGCCGCGTCGAACAGAACGACTCTGGAAAACCGATTAATCACCAAAACAAGAACAGGGCAGCCAGGTAGTGGAAGAACCGTCTGCGGAAAAAAAAGAAAAGATAGTATAGAACCCCTCCAGTTTGTAGGTCGATTAGGCGAAACTCCATGGGAGAGCCGCGCTGGTTTATATCAAAAGCAAAGAGGCGGACTCAAAGTCCTCTCCGGCCACCCGTGCTCATCAGCGTGATCTTCTGTTTCTTCTTCTTCTTCCCGCCTCCCCCAACACCGTTGGGAGTTCCGGTGGGAGTTCCGGTGGGAGTTCCAGTGGAAGGACCAGCAGTCGCTTTGCCCTTGCCAGTATTCGCGCTCTCAAATGCGTTCAATGCTTCCATTTGGACCGCCAGCTCAGCTTCGCCCAAAAAATCTTCGTCCTTGAGCCACCCATCATCCCCCGAGCCAATGTGTGTCGCCCCGAGTTCGGGAGACTGCGCCACGACACGAGTTCCCCACACAGTTTTCTGTGTGGAAGGGCTGGTAGACATGGACGCCAAGGTTTCAAAGCCAGGACGGGGATCGGGCGGAGTGGCATCACTGTGCCCTCCCAGAGGTTGAAATTCCGACAAATCCATAGCGGGCGGCTTCTCGTCGTCCAAAGGTCCAACAGGGTGCCGAGATCCCGCCGCGGCCCGCATTGAAGCTGCCTCAATGCGCTCCGCCTGTAGGCGCTCCCTTTCTTCCTGTATTGCCTTGTCCCGATTACGCTTTCGACGTCGTTCAATTTCTGACTTGAAAGAATCAAGCGTCTCTGCTGGAACAATATCGGTCCAGTCGCATTCCAGAAACGTCACCACACAGCCACGGGGAAGATGACCCAAGTATTTAGCTCGCTTGCGCATGGCATCATCGACAACGTGTCCGGTTGAAATGTGCTCGACTCGAGGTAGGAGGGTTGTCGGGAACGACGAGAAGTTTCCGTACTTCGTCTTGAGAATGCGAATGTCTAGAGGCGAAAGGTACAAGTGCGGCGGTGAGCTGTAGAAATAGAAATCTGCCTCGGTCGAGAGGTTGGATAGCTTGCCAGGAGCAACGACACTAGCAGCGGTGATATCTGTAAACGGTTCCAAGCGCTCCTTTGCAACCTCAATTGCTCGGATCGCTCGCTGTGTCCATTCCCCATCAAGGCCAAACAATGTTTCATCCTCCTTCTCCTGCTGCATTAAAGCCTGAATCTCCTCGTCATACTGCTTAGTCATGTAGTCGCTTGTGCCTTTCATGATGCGGGCGTAATCGAACACGTTGGCAGCAAAATGCCATGGGATATCCGATCCATAATGGAAGGCCTCGGCTCCAGATTCGCTTGGGAGGGCAAGCGTGGAATCTGCGTTCCTTGCCATGAGCCGAAGAACGACGTCGTCACCCACCCGAGGCAAGGGACTCTCCTGGCCGGCGTAGAATCGCACTGGACGAACTTCATGTAAATAGACTGAGTCTTCACAGATGGGGCATTTCTTCCACCTCGGCCCTTTATTGGACTTCGACTCTTCCTCACTCGAGCTTGAATTCATAAAGCGGATGAGGCATGAAAGACAGAAAATATGACCACATTTGGCCATCCGAGGAGCAACAGGGTCAGAAAGACAAATTGGACAAGAGGTGACCTGGGACTGCGAAGACGCAATGACTTGCTGGACATTGTTCCAGTCCAGATGTAGGTCGGCATCGCTCGCATGCTCGGTGTATGAAATTTCGGGAGAGACCACAAAACGATAGTTCGAATGCACATATCGGGACTTGTCGGATGCGTGATACCCTGACCCAGGACCCCAGGTTGGATTCCGACGATATGATCTCGCATAGGCGCTGTGGTCTACGTATGGTCGCGGCATCGAATAGTTGAGAAGATGCGTAATCGACGTCTGGCCCCGTCGACTGTTGGGGTTTCTGACAGCGCGGATTTCATCCATGGCGTCGCTGGCGTCTAGACCACGATTTGTCCTCGGTTCGGGCCCGGGGCGATGCTGGTCTCGATGCTTTTTGCGAGAAGCTTGTCCTTTGCGAGGAACGGGAGTGGCGTTGGAAGGGCCAGACTGACCGGGTCGGCGGGCCTCGAAGCTCAAGGTCGCTGGCCCTGCCTGGTTCGAGGAATGGGTTGATGAGGATACTGGCAAAGACTTGCCCAGGACTGAATTCGAAGGATTCATGATCGACCTAGCAAATAGATGGGAGGAAAGAGCCGGCGTGAGGGGTAGGCCGTTGACTCAATCATTCAATCACTGTCGTTTTAGCCTCGATACGGGTGGAGGCTGAAGGGAATTCCCACATCGACCTCCAGAGGCGTGCTGCAACAACAAGGGCAACGACCCAAGCATAGGAAAACGAGGAGAAGGATTGATAATGAGTCAAGCGATAACAGAACAAGGCGAGGATGATACGGCTTTCCTACGGGGGTCCAGCTCGGACGGACCCCAAAGTCTCTTGGTGGAGAACTGCTGATCGCGTTACCGTGCCTGCTGGCGGGGCAGGCGTTGGATCAATGACCTTCAAGCATTGGCGGAGGCGGACCAGTAAAATTCCGGCGAGCACACACGACCACAGGGTAGGCCATCAGTCAGCAGACTCTGCCGAATCAGAGCCATGCCTCATAGTTGTATGATATCATGCACACACCGGCCAATGACGGGCACCACACGCTTCTCTTCCTTGTCTGAATGGACAGAGAGGTGGGCAATACACAGGTCGGCAAGTGGGTGACAAGAGGAAATGGCACACTTAAGCACTCCCTTAACAATCACTTGATCAACTATCTTTCATAGCTAGCTGTGCAGTTACCAAGACAAGGTTAAAGGAAAAACATATCAAGATAAAAATTAATAAACTACAATCTCTGCTAAGGATTAGATACTTGGTTGGATATTTAGGTGTGTATTTGGGTGCTTATTTAGGTCTTCATTTGGGTCTTCATTTGGTTCTGTCATTTCCTGTGTCACCCACTTGGTCGGTTCAGCTGCATTAGAGGCTCCGATTTCCATCAATGCGCACACAGGTCAGGGATATTTGATTTAGATAAGCACTATGAATTAGATACATGGGAGAGGTAAATCCAGCGCGCGCCAGACGAGCAAACACCTGGTTGGTCCTTGTGCTTCTACGCATGGGGGAAGGGGAATAATTGGACACGTGAATATACATACCGCAATAAACCAGCCAAAACAAAATGATCATTGCAAATTATACCTCCAAACATTACATTCGTTGAGCATCCTCCTCCATTCCAATCAGTTCTTATCGGTGATTTTGTGCTTAATCTTGCTGAGTATCGCGCTGAAGCGGTTCTTCTTCTTCTTTTCCGTAGAGGCCTCGGCTGTCTTGGATGCTTCGGGCTTGCTTCCAGTGCCGTTTGATGCCCCAGCGCCGTTGGCTGCGGCTGCGACCTTTGGCTCTTCAGCCTTGGGGGCCTCCTCAACCTTGGGAGCCTCCTCAACCTTGGGGGTCTCCTCAACCTTGGGGGTCTCCTCAACCTTGGGGGTCTCCTCAACCTTGGGGGTCTCCTCAACCTTGGGTACCTCCGCAATCGCGGGTGCTACCACACCTGTGGGCGCTGCCTCGACAGCCTGGGCAGTCTTGGCCTCAGGGACAGTTGCGTCGCCAACAGCGGGGACCTCCTTGACTTCCTTCAGCAGCTCAGCTTCGACCTCCTTCTTGTCTTCTACAGCAACAACATTGGCAGCAGCCTCAGGGTTCTTTGCAGCCTCGGTGATGGACTGCTTCACCTCATCTGGGACTTCGGGAGCAATCTGTTCGCGGATCTCCTCCTTGTTGTGAGAGGCTAGGACTTGTTGAGCAGATTCGGGCAGCTGCTCCTTGACGGAGTCTGGCAAGTTCTTGTTGGCAACATCGACGACTGTCGTAGCGGCTTGGTCAACGACAGGGGCGGCCTTGTCAGCGGCATTTGTTGCTGCGACTGTTGCGGCTGTTACGGCTGCAATGACAGCGCCACCAGCTGTGGCTGCAACTGCTGCAATAGTGCCAGTGTTCTCGGACTTCTCAGTCCCCAAACCAGAAGTACCCTCAGAGGTTGAAGGTACCTCTGGCACCTTGGCCTTGAGCTCCTCCTCGACGGCAGCCTTTTCCTTCACCTCTTCGGCAACGGCGCTTGCCTCGGGGGACACACCAGCCTGCTCCTGGCTCTCCTTGACGATTTTTGGAACCTTAGGCTCCAGGGGAACATTGCCGGCCAAGATAGCAGTAGTGGCAGTAGGTGTAACTGAGTTGATAGTGGCATCACCAACAGGTAAACCGGACTCGGGAATGATGTTCTTAGAAACGGCGGGGACTTCAGTTTGAACGCCAGGGAGAGTATCGCTCTTCTCGTACGACTCCTTATCAAGCTTTACGTTCGCATTGATATCCTGGGCAGCCAAAGACTGTGGGACCTTCTCCCCAGGCGCGAGCTGAATTGGGTTCACAGCGCCAGCGGCGGCCGGGAGAGGGTTGATGCTGACAGGCTTCTCTGCTTCGGCGGCAATGGCAGCGGGGAGGCCACCAGGGAGCGCGTCGCTCTTCTCGTACGACTCCTTGTCAAGCTTCACGTTGGCATTGATATCCTGGGCAGCCACGGACTGGGGGACCTTCTCCCCAGCCTCGACCTTGACTGGATTCACAGCGCCCTCGGCGGCAGGGAGAGGGCTGATGCCCACAGGCTTTTCCAATTCGGCAGCAGGAGTAGCGGGGAAGCCACCAGGAATATCTGACGGGGTGCTAACCACCTCGGTGGTCTCCAAGGTCTCTTCCTTTGACTCAAGAGAGTCTTGGGACTCCTTGTTCTTGTTTTTGTTCTTGTTCTTCTTATTCTTCTTCTTCTTAGATTGTTCGCCTGCCATCGTCGCGGTTGTGGAGTCGGGCGTTACAGTGTTGATCAGAGCTGCGGCGGCAGGAGATGTGAGGATTTGCTCGGGTGTAAGAAAGTTGTTGATGTTGCCGTCCTGGTCAGGCTCCTTGGGTGCGGAGTCGTTTGTTGTCCAGGTGTTGTCGACAACGAACTAGACAGATTTCAATCAGCCTCGACGGCGCTGGGAAGTGGGTTGGTGGGCTAATTTAAAGGATTCAGGTGTTGGTGTATACAGGGACAAGGTTAGGAAGGTCGAGAGTTTAAAACAAGCCACTCGGCCTTGGATGCCGATCCAAACCTTCCAGTTTTGCGCTCAGGGAAAGCTTTTCACAGCGCCGGTAAAAGTCTCCGATGTCTTGGGCAAATTGGAAACATTGTGTGCGCATGCCAAAGCTGGCTGGTCGCAAAGGGCACGAGGCAGGATGAGGGCTCCGCTGCTTTCGAGTAGGTCCAAACCCAAGGGATCCGCATCGTAGATCAATTGGCTTAGCATTTCTCGTACAGGTGATTTCGCTGACGTCGCACACTGCGCGCAATCACTCGACCTAAGGTTGTGCAACTGCGGGAGGCATGTGTAGCGGCCAATTCCTAACATTGTTTGGGGGAATTGGAATGCGTTGCGTTGCGACGAGACAGTGAGGAGCGGTGATGTTACGACGGGGGTTGGACAAGACAGGCATGGGTGCAAAAGCGCCAAATGAAATCAAATAAAATAAGGGCAAAAGACAAGCAACCAAGCAAGAATTTTGATAGGGTTAGGAGCGCCAATGGTAGGCGCAGAGAATGAAGGGGATTCTTGGATGTCACACACCTTGTAGTAAATCTTCTTGGAGGCGTCCTCGAGCTCGACGGTCTTCTGGAAAACGTCGCCGTCCTTCTCAAGCTTGACGCTCTTGGTCCAACCATCAAAGGTTCCGGTTACGTAGACCTCTTCGGCAGGGTGTTCCCTAGATGGAAGAGCTCTGGGTCAGCGCATATGCAGGGAGGAATGTGGTCGCGTGTGGCTCCTGTTGCTATGGAGCGAGACAGACCAACTGCGCTTCCCGAGGGGCCGGCAAGTACTCACCACTTGAAGGTGTGGCTTCCCATAGTGACGGCAAGCTCGATGGGTAGGTATTGTTTATTATGATGTGTGCTTGGTGGGCGCTTCTGGCTGGATACGGGAGCTGCTAGTGCAGGAGTGTCGAGCTCTGGGGAATCGGGAGAAGCAGATGGAAGAAAGTTTGCGAAGCGACGCAGCACAACAGACGGCAGGCAATACAAGCAAGCAGCAGGAGCAAGCAGGACAGAGCAGCGCAGCGAAGCGCAGGTTAGATCAGGTCAGGTTCAGGTAGGGCAAGACGCCAGGCAAAGTTGAGGAAGTGGCGGGGGCGGGCGAAATTAAAGCTTTCCACTTTCATACAAGGATGGAACGGCCCAACAGCGCGCATCGACTGCTCGATCGATTGATGGCTGCAACTAACCCTGGCAGGACACCCAACGGTGCTACACACAGCGCGGCCAGCGGTCAATGGCCTGAGGTGGCAGGGGGAAATAAAGGTGCAGAGATCTCGAGCTGCGGAGCTGGAATGGACGGAGTCTCGTACGACGCTGCCAACTCGCAAAATGCGGTGATGATGCAATGGATCTAGAGCAGGGGCCCAGCTGTAAGTTTTCCGCGAACAATCACTAAGAGCAGACTGCCTGAACCTGCCTGGCCCTAGGCGCTGTCTGACCGTCTCCAGCTGTTCGCATCCATCCTGAGCAAGCTCCCCACCCACCTGCCCAAAGCGACACTGGCTGGAGCCTACTACTGGCTTCTGCTGGGCAGCCAGACATCCTGCGGCCCCTGCCCGGATGTGAGTAATCGGTATGTCGCATGCTAGATAAGGTAGGTCTGCCTGCAAATTTGTTGGGGCTTGTCTCTCTGGCGTGCTCCCTGTCATACCTTGGTAGTTGGGCTGCAAGAGCGTAGATTGCGACGGCCAGAGTCCAGACCGCCCGCCTCTTCTCCAGGCCACGGGCCACAGCGGTTAGCGGGAGGCGACTGGGAGGCTACGCGTCATTGAGCTCCACACAACGATCAGCCTCCCCTTCACTGACCTGACAGCACTTGATCCCAGCAAGCCCAGCCATCGTCCAGCCATCACAGCCGTGCCGTGGCAAGCTCCCAGCCTCATGCAGGGGACTGGCGCCGGACATCTTTGCACAATACAGGAGGTACCTATCCTGGTGATACGAAAACACGGTCTGGGGTGTTCTGCTTCTCCTGGCAGTAATGAGCCGCGGCTTCTCTGTCAGCGGCTGCTTACTCAGTTGCTGGTTTGCTTGAATCAGGCAATCAGGCTCCCGCCACACCGTCGAAGCTTAACCAGCAAGACTGAAAGTCCATTGGCTCTCGTCCAAGTCAGAAGCCCTTTTCTATGGTGGTGACAAGCAATCAAGTGACCAACCGGTTCAACCTAATGACAGTTAAGGGTCAACGTGCGAGACGAAAGAAACCCAATTTCAATATTTTACTATATTGTTTAAGAAAATGCAAGACCGAAGCTACATCTGGATGTACCTAGTTGTGAACCGAGGATGAATACATCTCGGTAGAGAGTCTATGTATCAGTATCACCACCATTGTTCGTACATGGAACCCAACCACTTCACCCAGCAACCCATTCACAGCTCCTCCTTTCCTTCAGCACTCTTTGCTCCCTTCTCTTCGGCACTCTTGGCCTTTGCCTTGAGCGCTCGTGCAGTCACCTTAAACTCGGCCTTGTGATCGAAACCCGGCGACTTGTGCTCTGCCCAACCTACCACGTTCCCCTCTGCAACCTCAGGCCTGTACTTGGTCAAGTCAAGCAAGTCGTCTGTCGAAGCCACAAGTTAGTCAAGGCTCATTCCATCGAATAGGTTTGTGTTTCTTACCTTTACATTCACTCTCCTCAGCCGCCCAGAGGGGAAGCGTATGGTAGATGACGCCCGGTGCGAAAATAGCTACCCGGTTTCCGTCCTTGCTTCTGTCCACCTCACTTGCACTTGGCACTTCCACCACGTCCTCCACAGCGTCATCATCTGACTTGGGTTTCTCAAATACTCCAAAGTACCCCTTGCCCGGTCCATCTGTCCGTTCTTGCTCCTCGATCCATTCACGGACTGTCAGAGGGATATCTGTGTAGTCCATCCGGAGGACAGCGCGATCGTACCCGTGGCGGTCATATCCCGACCAGCCCCCAGGGTACTCGCGTTGTGAGAAGAGTTTCTTGAGTCCTCCAGCCCATTGCTTCAGACCCTGGGGAGCTGGCTCCATCAACTCGTGTAGGCTGTATTCGTACATCTTGAACTGCTTGACGGCCTCACACGACCCATCAAACGCCGCGATTTCGCTAGACTTGAGTAGGTTCTTCCAGAGCCAACCCTCGGTCAGAGTTGGGTCAACCCTTGGCGGGGCATCCTTGGAGATAGCCTCTGCCGAACTTGCCATCAAGGCGGCTACGACAGGTAGGGCCAAGAATCTCATGATGGTATAGGGTATTCTGGGGTTGCCACGGATGGGGAGTTATTAATCCAATTCGATGTAACCTAGCAAGCAAGTATTCTTTTAATGAGCTTACTATGCTTGTTGTCGTCTGATCTAGTAACATAGACAAAAGACACACACAAGGACAATAATACTATCGGACATAGTCCCCACGGCGTCAATAAATACTCCTTTGAACGGTATCGCAAACCACCAGACTTCAATTCAATGCTTTGCTGTCCTCATCGGATCCTGATGCCTCCGTCTTTCCAGATTAGATGAAACATCTCTTGGACGCAGCATCTCATTGGCGGATGGGGTCAATGTCACGGAGCGCATGTCATGTGCGCTGGATTGCCGGCTGAGCGAGCGGGTGGGCGGCCAGAAGGTCCGGGACGAATCCCTGCTGCCTCACCTGTTCAACCGAGAAGCTGTTCGGCATCCTGGTCCGGGCGAGTCATGCCGAACGACCCTATTTGTCCTTTCATCTCATGCGGAGTTGCTGAGGCTCTAGTATTCACGCATGAGCTGCGGGGAACTTGATTGACATGTGTTCTCATGTGTCTCACCAAAGGGACAGAGCGATATCTGGCCCTGACGATCAGTGAGTGGTCACATCTACGGTTCATTCACCGAGTGCAAACTGAAAGCAGAGCAAAGACACAATTTCTTAATTAACCCGCTACATTATCCATCAATATTTATGAAAGAAAGAAAAAAAAATCCCGTTAACTTTTTTATTCAGTGTCTCGGGTCAAACTTAGCGAGAATAGGCCCATTCCACCACTTTCACATTCACTAGATTTGTGTCGAAAGTAACACACATCATGGCACCTTCATGCAACAGGGTCATGCTACAGCCTCTATGCGGTGCTTAATGGGGAAGGGGTGTACAACTACACCAGAGACACGCTCTTGCTAAGCTTGACAGTGACTGGAGAGCCGTTCATGGTGACCCAGATGATGGCGGGCTCAGTGCCGACCTTGTCGGTGGTGGAGGTGCCGCCCTCGGTGGTGGCCGAGTCGACGGGGATCGTGACGGGGACGGGGACGCCGCAGGTGTTGCTGTTGGTGGTGACGGTGGCGGACTGGATGGACTTGCCGTCCGAGCTGTACGTGTAGGAGAGCTTGGGCTTGCAGCTGTCCAGGGTCTCGCGGTCGACAAAGTACTTGCCAACGTCGTCGTGCTTCAGCGAGGTGATGGGCCAGTCGGTGAGACGGTACATCTCCTGGGCGATGGTCTCGACCCAGGCCATGACCAGAGACATCTTGGCAGTCTGAGAGCCAATGGTGATGGTGGGCATGTCCGTTTGGCGGAGGTTGGCCTGGTGGAACATGTAGGGGTCGGACTGGAGACCGAGCAGGTAGCGGGAGTTGGTGAGGCGGGCGTCGTTGAGGAGATCGGTGAAGCCACCCTTGCCGGCGGAGGTGTCGATCCACTCCTTGACGGTGCAGTCGGAAGTGTCGCAGTTGTAGTAGATGGTGGTGGCGTAGCGGGGGATAATTTTAAGGCCGGCGTAGCCGTTGGCGGCGACATTGGTGGTGAGGGCGTGGAACTTGCTGTTGGGGTTCTTGAGGACAGGGCGAGTGTTGTCACCAACCACATATCGGAGGCCGTTGTCCATCCAGGCCTTGATAGCATCGCCGTTATGCAGGCCAGTGATGGCGGGGGGGATCAGGCCCTGAGCAGAGAAACGTCTGGCCTGGTCAATGCCCATCTGCTTCATCCAAGCCTGGTTAAAGTGAATCTCACGGGTAGCGTCGTGGTAAGTGGCATTGTTCAACTCAAGGTGAGTAAAGGTGTGAGACAGATGAGCAAAGTGGTTGAGGTTGTCCGAGTTGAGGAACCAGGCAGCAAAATCATCCAGCTTTGCACACTGCTGAGTCCACTGATACTGTTCATACGCGGCAGGCCACTGGTCAGCACCACTGCCAAGGGGCTTCTGGAACTCGAGGGGAGTGTCGGGAGGGTAAGGGTAGTCGACAGGGTCCTCAGGCTTGCAGACAGATGAGGCCGTAGGCTTGGTAACAGCGGCAATGATATCACCGTTTCCGTTGTGACCAAACTCAAGCCAGAAGTCAGAGCCCTTGGGCAGACGACCGTTGATGTTGGTTTGCCAGGTGGCATGAGCCTCAACATCTGCAATGCGGCACTTGAACTCAGTGCCACTGGGGTAGTAAATCTCAGTAGCGAGCTGAACATCGTCGATCTGGGTGCTGAGATGAATCTTGCGCTTGCCAACAAAGAGACCACGTGTGAGCCAGTGAACGTGGGCATGCTGGAGGTAGTTGGAGGTGGCAGACCAGTCGGTAGCCCAGCCGGTGAACCAGACCATCTGCTCACGTCCATTGAAGTTATTTATGACACCTGCAGTCGTCTCAGTTGAGAAACTTCCGCCAGGGCCAAACTTGGCAATCTCCCAGGTGGTGGCAGGATCGGTAATGACGGCAGGATAATGCCACAGTCCGTTGGTGGTCACTCCAGCATTGCTGTACCAAGAGTCAGTGGGCAGGCTTAGAGTAAATCGGTTCCATGCGGTCAACTTACGTCTTGAGGTTGGCAGAAGGGAAGGCGGTGGTGTTAGAGAAACTGACGAGT